CCTTAGAATGTGCGGACCTGTGGAGTTCAATGTCCTTGGTGGCTGACAGTATGGGGCGCACAGGTCTGCCCCTACTGCCAGTCACTCTATGTAGTGTGACCTCACAGACCGCGATAGAGGATCTTATTTATCCTCTACCCGGTCTGACAGAAAACTGCTTGCTGGGAAGTATAGGATAAGGAAGACGCTCTAACATTGTCCAAGCTACAATAGGAGGTCCTGTTTATTAGAAGGATCACCCATTATAAAATCAAGCACAGAGTGCACTATATCTAACACTCCCAAATGCCTCCTCCTGCTCATCTCCCCTATTACATTCCCAGAACCTTTAAAATACATAATCTTGGACAGAACGTGTCTTCTACATGCATCCCTACCTCGAGGGCACGCAGCTTATTTCACAAACTGGTAAATACAAATTAATTGCCAGAACATGGTTTTGGAGAGTGGCCTGGAAAATGTGGAACAACTTTCATCTGCACTCACCTCCTTTAGGAGTTCCCATGTAGTCATGTAGTGAGGTTTGAATAATCCCATCAACTCTGCTCGCAATGTCTGCAACGATGCCTGTTACGAATATGACTCTAGGCTTGTGATTTTATACCTATACATCTTATTAACCATATTTTTTTATTTGCTACAGGACTTGTACAGTACAATATTCACAACCTGCATTAACGTATCAAGTGTCTTTAGATTGTAAGCACACGGGCAGGGCCCTCTACCTGTTGTATTGTTCTGTTTTTATTGCATTGTCTTTTTCCCAATTGTACAGCGCTGCAAAATATGTTGGTGCTTTATAAATACCAGTAATAAATAACAGGACCACCACCAGAAATTTTGGGGCTCCTGACAAAGCACAAGGTCTGGGTATGTTTGTAATGTAATAAAAGCTATTCCCCCCTCCCTGTTTCTTACCTGGTCCAGGGAGGGGGGAAGATTCCATGATCCCTGGTGGTCCGGTGGCATTGTGGGGCCCCCAGCTCTCTGTATTTGCAGAGGGGGCCTAGCGGACTGCAGGAGCACTTTACAGCTCTTCCTCTCTCTAACTCCCGCGAGACGTGGTGTGCGCGCCGCGCGGAGCGTTGCCATGGTAATCCATGGCAACGCTCTAACGGCCGCACGTCTCACGGGAGTTAGAGAGAGGAAGAGCTGTGCATCTGTAAGTGAGTGAGCATCTGTCAGTCAAAGCGCGGCCTTGACAGGAAGGGGTGGGGAAAGTTTAAATTAGGGGGGTGTCCAAGCAACGTCCTGCCTAGGGCAGCACAAATCCTAAATACACCACTGGTGCCATCAGCGTCTTGCCTACCCCCCACAAATCACACCTGGTCTCCGTGAACCAGTGACGGGATGATGGGAGACAGTCTGTTAGAGAAGATTTTTGTGATCAATTTGATGTTGGTGTTCAACAGGGATATGGGCCTTAAGTTTTGGCTCCTGTTAGGGTCTTTACCCGGTTTCGGGAGGGTGGCGACATGTGCCATTAGCATTTCTGGAGGCATAGTCCCAGTATTGAGTATGTGGTTGAATAGTTTTTCTAGATGGGCTGCCAAATCGTTTGTAGTAGGAGTTCGTGAGACCGTCTGGTCCCAGGGATTTCCCTTGGGGGAGCAAGTGAAATGTGTTTAACAGGCCCGGACTGGCCATCGGGCACACCGGGCAAATGCCCGGTGGGCCGCGGTGGCCATGGGCCGAGGCCGGCAGGGGAGGTCCCAGGATCTCCCCTGCCGGTCTATGCAAGGTTGGCCCCGCTGTGTGCCACGACGGGCCGGTGGGGAAGGGAGACAGACAGACAGCCAGGCTGGAGAGAGGACCCGGCGGAGCTCTAACTTGCAGCTCCGCCGGGTTCCTCTCGCGAGATCCAGCGTGTTGCCATGGCAACGACCAGATCTCGCGAGAGTGAACTCTAGCCTCACAGGCTATGCGGGCTAGAGTTCACTCACCCACGAGGACCACCAGGGAACACCGCCTCCCAGTCACCAGTGCGCCGGGGATAATAACTGTTTGTTGTTTATTTACCCCCCCTTACACACACACAATAACATTTATACAGCACTCTCACAAACAGCACTCTCACTCCCACACCCATCACACTCTCACACCCATCACTCTCACACTCACAGCACTCTCTCACAGAGCACTCTCACACACACACAGCACTCTCTCACACAGCACTCTCACACCCATCACACACAGCACTCTCACACAGCACTCTCACACCCATCACTCACACACGGCACTCTCACACCCATCACTCACACACAGCACTCTCACACAGCACTCTCACACACGGCACTCTCACACACACGGCACTCTCACACACACACTGCACACCTCACACACACACATACTGCACCCCTCACATACACACAGAACCCCCCAACACACTGCACCATACACATACACAATACTTCCAAATATATATATATATATATATATATGTATACACACACACTACACTCTTAAAGGACCACTCTAGGCACCCAGACCACTTCAGCTTAATGAAGTGGTCTGGGTGCCAGGTCCTTCTAGGGTTAACCCATTGTTTTACAGAGAAACTGCTATGTTTATCAATGGGTTAAGCCTTCCCCCAGAGCCTCTAGCGCTGTCTCATTGACAGCCGCTAGAGGCGCTTGCGTGCTTTTGTCTCCTGGTATCCATTTATAGAGACACCAGAGACAAGTTGCAAGGAAACACAGTGCAAGCATGCTAGTAAATTTGCTTGCACTGTGCAGAACAAATACAGGGCTTTTTTCTCATGCTAGAGCTCTTCAGCAGAGCTCTGCGCATGGTCTGCCCTGGAAGAGCATTGAACCAACATGCTCACTTTGAGAGGGGGCGTGTTTGTCATTGGTGATGACAAAACACACCTCCTCTGCCCCGCCCCCTTTTTAGTGGGCCGCTATGTTAAAAAAATGCCCGGGCCGAATTTTTCTCCCAGTCCGGCCCTGGTGTCTAATATTTCTTGTGTGGTTATTGGGTTTTGGATGTTGCTTTGTGACTTTGTGTGTGGATGTCAAGGTTGGTAGTGTGGTTGAATTCAGTAAATCTGTGGCGTAGCAATGCTGCTAGGGTTTTCCCAGCCTTATTGCCTTGTGAGTATGTTTTTAGTTTCAGTTTGGTCAATATATGTGTGTTTTGTTTAAGGTTAGTTCATTAGTTTGTTGTTTCCGCTATGAGTTTGGCTTGTGTGTCAGAGGGAATTAATAGATGTGCGTTGGTTTCATTTCTCAATTTACTGAGTAGGTTTAAGTGTTCTTGTTAAGATTTGAGCTTGAGATACGAGGTGCGACTAATTAACAACCCCCGAATCACCAGTTTGTGAGCTTGCCAGGTGGAGAAGGGGCTTATGTCTTGTGTGTCGTTGAGGCTCAAGTACGTTTGTATGTGTTCTGTGAGTTGTTGTACGAAAGGACTGTTGTGTAGAAGGGAGTCGTTGAGACTCCAGGGTGGCATGCCTCTGTGTGGGTAGTTGTCCCGCATTGTTTAATGGATTGGAGCAGGGTCAGACCATACGATATTGCCCATATCACAGTGGGTTATGTTAGAGAGGAGAGGTCCAGTCGTCAGTATGAGGTCTGTTCTGGAGTATGTTTTGTGTAAGATTTGGGTGACGTTGTAAGAAATGATGACCCTCTTACAAGGATATTCTTTTAGGGAATGTGTGACAAATAAGACACAAACACAAGTGTATAATAAAATGTATTGTAAATATTGACTTAGGATACTGTTACAGATTTAAAAGGATATACACAATACACCTTATAACCACATCCAGTACATATTTAAAAGATACATAATAAAAGGGCAATACTTAGACAATGCTTAGACATTTAAATGAAGATCTTCCCCTTGCGCCTTCATATTGGGTTATTATCTGGTACAGTCTCTCTTAGTTCACCATGGCACCTGCTTGCTACGCTGTCCTCTCCAAAAGAGACAAAGAGAGAACCACAACCTCCTTGGCTGTCCTTTTAAAGACTCATTCTTGCTGTCATTAACAACAAGTCCCAGAATACCGTTTCCCTCCCAAAAGTGGTTTATCCAGCCCCATTTTTCCAGAGAGTTCCTGAGAGTTCCGTCTTTACACAGAATTCTAGCTATACTGTAACATTCTGAAAGAAGTGACAGTTAGGGTTGGTTTCTGGGTAGATTGGACAGGATGGTTTGGGAAAACACAAACTTCCATGGTTACACCTAGATGTTCATTACTCTGATCTTCTGATAACATGCATGGAAAACTGGTTGGCAGGAGAACTGCTGGAGGGATGTTAGCTTTTGTTTTAGCTAGGTGTTGTAAAATGCAACTGAAAGCTTTGATCCTTATCACACTGTTATCAAGTAAATGACCCCAACTTGTGAAACCAGTCACATACACAAAAAGTTATATACAATATTGCAGTTTTGCATATCAATTTCTTACAACGTGTTCTCCGGGCGTCATGCAGTCCATGTTCCATAAGTAGTTTTGTGATTGCTTTACAGTTGGTTTTTAGTTTGGTGTGTCTGCCTGAAGAGTTAGGGATGGACGTGTCTACTTTGGAGTTTAGTATATAAGTCCCTGCATATGATAGCATATAGTACCGGGTGGAGTCAGTAACTGTCGTCAATTGTGTCGGGTCTCGGTATGTACATTTTAACAGATATAACTAAATATTATAACATAACCTGAGAACTAAAATTTTAAGGGTGGCTAATTAACTACCAACTAAGCCCCTGGCCCAAGACAAAAACATTACACAGGGGTTGTACTTGCAGCCCATGGAGGCTTCCCATGTAATCACAGTTCATGTGGCGACTTCGGGAAGTGATTTACGTGATGAGGTGGACAGTCCTGGGGCATTCCTGGTTTGCAGGCCCCATTCTTTAAGCATCCTCAGACTTTCTTCCAGGGTGCCGATGATCTCCGTTTTACCGTTTTTGATTACCAGGATCTTCGTGGGGTATCCCCAACTGTGTCAGATCCATTGTTCTCGCAGCGTTTCAGTGATGGGATAGAACTATTTTTTGCGTCGTAAAGTTGCTGTCGACAGGTCCACCATAATTCGCACGGTGGGGCAATCCTCGTGGGGAAGGGGTTTGTTTCGGCGTGATTTCATAATGATTTTCTTGATATGAAAATAGTGTTCCCTGAGGAGTACATCTATCGGCGTTGAATCAGGTAAATAATGGGGTTTTGGTACCCTATGGACCTGGTCCACCTGCACCATGTCCGCTGGGACATCTTGTACATATACTTGGAGGTTGCAGGGGAGGACGGATTCAGGGATGCCCCGTAAGCGGAGAATATTCCTCCGTGCCTTGTCTTCCAAGTCAGCCAAGTGGGATTCCATGAGGTCCAGTCTTTGGTGCAATGCTTGCACTTGGTCCGCCATATTAGTATGTGCCACGGCAATTTCTTTGCACTGTGACTCCACGTGGGTCGTTCTTGCGATCAGGTCCACAACCTCTTTCCGTATTTGGTCCTCTTTGGTCTGCCATGTTTGTATCAGTTTGGTAGACATAGCCTCCAGGGCCTATTCAAAATATGCCCTGATTAAGCTTTCGGGTTTTCTGAAGTCCTCCGCAGCTGGCATGGGACTGCTGATGTCCGAATCTTCAGCGCCATCTTGCAGCACAGACAGCACGGCCTCAATGCAGAGGAGGATTTCTGGTCGAAAAATTTAGCTTTTCAGCTCTTGATGTGTTCTTTTTAGTCTTGTACTGAGGCATTCTTGTGTGGGGTCAGTGCTTGTAATTCTGCAAGTATTTAGTCGATTCAGCAGAGAGTATCACTACTGCTTTCTTCACGTGGAATGGGTAGCTCCCCTTCAGCTTCAGCTCCCCTTCTGTTATCCATAGCAATCTATCAGGGAATAATCGGGCTTCCTCCTTTCTCCCTTCTTCCTTTTTATTGTGGCAGCCACTGACATCTACTCATTCCTGGTCCAACTCCTCTGACCTGGGTGTGAGAGATGCAGTGATTTCCTGAGACTATTCCTTCCCCGCTCACCACTTATATTCGGTTCTTTCAAGGCCTCTCAGTTGTTCATTTTCTCTGAACACGCCTCTCCATCTCTGTCTCTCAGCGTTCTCCGCCATACTAGATTTAGTGTTAACAAATGGAGATTTGGTATCAGATATTACTGTAGGTGAAAGTTTAGGATCCAGTGATCATCAGTCAGTGTGGTTTAATATGAGAGCAGTGACTGAGTCACACCACACAAAAACAAAAGTTTTAGACTTTAGAAAAACAGACTTTTCTAAAATTAGAATATGGATAGAGGAGTCATTATCAGACTGGAGCAATTTAAATGGAGTCCAAGAGAAATGGGATTATTTAAAAGTTGCACTATTGAAGGCAACAGAAAATTGCATTAGGCTTGTCAGTAAAAGCAAAAAATTCAAGAAACCACTGTGGTACTCCGCAGATGTGGCCAAAATAGTTAAAAACAAAAAGTTAGCATTTAGGAATTATAAAAAAAACCAGAGTGAGGAAGACAAAATGATCTATAAGATTAGGCAGAAAGAGGCTAAGCAAGTTATAAGAGCTTCCAAATCACACACAGAAGAGAAAATAGCACAGTCAGTAAAAAAGGGGGATAAAACATTTTTTAGATACATAAATGAGAAAAGAAAAGTAAAACAAGGATTAGTTAGATTAAAAACAAAAGAAGGAAGGTATGTAGAAGAGGATAAAGGTCTAGCTGACTGCCTCAATGAATATTTTTGTTCTGTATTTACAGATGAAAATGAAGGAAAGGGACCTCAGTTAAGAAAAAGGATAAATGAGTCATTTATTACACGTGAGTTTACAGAGGAAGAGGTTCTATTTCAACTGTCAAAAGTAAAGACAAATAAGTCAATGGGACCTGATGGAATACACCCAAAGCTATTAAAAGAGCTTAGTGGTGTACTAGCAAAACCATTAACAGATTTATTTAACCAATCATTGTTAACAGGAGTAGTCCCAGAAGATTGGAAGTTAGCGAATGTTGTGCCCATTTACAAGAAAGGTAATAGGGAGGAGTCGGGCAACTATAGGCCAGTAAGCCTTACTTCAGTAGTGGGGAAAGTGATGGAAACCATGTTAAAGGATAGGATTGATGAACATCTAAAACACATGGATTTCAAGATCAGAAACAACATGGGTTTACTTCAGGGAGATCATGCCAAACTAATCTTATTGATTTTTTTGATTGGGTAACTAAAATTATAGATCAGGGTGGTGCAGTAGACATTGCTTACCTAGATTTCAGTAAGGCTTTTGACACTGTTGCACATAGAAGGCTCATCAATAAACTGCAATCTTAAAGTTTGGATTCCAATATTGTTGAATGGTTAAGGCAGTGGCTGAGTGACAGGCAACAGAGGGTTGTAGTTAATGGAATATATTCGAAGCTTGGACTTGTCACCAGTGGGGTACCTCAGGGATCTGTACTTGTACCCATTCTCTTTAATATTTTTATTAGTGATATTGCAGAAGGTCTTGATGGTAAGGTATGTCTTTTTGCTGATGATACTAAGATATGTAACAGGGTTGATGTTCCAGGAGGGATAAGCCAAATGGCAAATGATTTAGGTAAACTAGAAAAATGGTCAGAATTGTGGCAACTGACATTTAATGTGGATAAGTGCAAGATAATGCATCTTGGACATAAAAACCCAAGGGCAGAGTACAGAATATTTGATAGAGTCCTAACCTCAACATATGAGGAAAGGGATTTAGGGGTGATTATTTCTGATGACTTAAAGGTAGGCAGACAATGTAATAGAGCAGCAGGAAATGCTAGCAGAATGCTTGGTTGTATAGGGAGAGGTATTAGCAATAGAAAGAGGGAAGTGCTCATGCCATTGTACAGAACACTAGTGAGACCTCACTTGGAGTATTGTACACAGTACTGGAGACCGTTTTAAATCAAAATACACTCCCCTATAAATAAAGCGCCTTTTGCTTTGGTTCAGTGCCCTATTATGGTTCACTTGTTGTTCCCTCTAGTGCTATTGAGTTTCCTGATAGTGTTCTCTGGTATTTTTGACTTGGCTTTTATTTGGACTATTCTGCTTTCTGGTATCCTGACTCGGCTTGTCTTCTCGTTTATCCTGTTTTAAGGTTTCCTGCCTCGGCTATTCCTCATCGTTTTCTATTTCTGGTTTTCCTAGACTTCAGCTATTCTGTGACTATTCTCTCGTTATCCAAGTTAAACCCCGGCCATTTTAAGGTTATAAGTTTTCTCTATTTAGGGTTGCATTCTGCGTGTTGGGGTCACTTTGTCATGACAGTAAGTTTGGAGCTTAGCAAGTCCTGTTCTCCTTTTACTCTACATTGAAGGCAAAGGAAATAAAGACAAAACAAGTTATATAAGAAGAAAAAAAGGTTGGAAAGGGAAAATTCCCTAAATCACAACAAAAACCTAGTTACACTGTGTGTTCTATGCCTGACTGTACGTGTACAGGACCAGTTGAAGGACTTTTATCTTCTTTCTCCTTCCCTATATCTGTATTGTAACTGGTGCATTATATGAGAGGTTTCAGCATTACCTAGTCAATTATGACCCCATCATACATAAAGTCTCAGGAGACAGGGTTGGGGAGTGAAGGCTTTGCACCAGACTGCACCTGGTAAATTAACCTCTTTTGTAGCCGATGTGGCTTGGTAAATGGGAGTGAACATCCTTCTTGTGTCTCTGGAACCCAAAAGGAATAACCAGAAATAATACTATAGTATTTATATCATGTTTTATTTTTCTGGCATATGGTCAGTTTTAGTCAGTCTACTGCTTTTGATTAGCAACCTTTATTCTACAAAGTTTCCTGATGTTAAATGAACTGCATGTCAGTTTTGTCATAGCTCTAGTGCAGTCTTTTTTTTTTAATAAAAAAAATTATTAATTTATCATTTGCTACCACTTTCTTAAATTATTGTGTTAAAAAAGTATTGCAACTTTTTTTTTTACATTATCCACACAAAAATTCTCACTACACCCATTTAAATATGTATTCATTGTTTCATTGATATAATTATTTATTTCTATATTTTAAAGATATTTGATTTTAAATATCCAGATCACCGGACACTTAACATAATTATGTGATCTGTTACATGAGCACATCATTCTACAGTATATTTTGTCATTCTGGCACTCTATGGATTCTTTTCTTAAACTAAGAGGTATTAATCTCCCAATAGATTCCTTAGTAGCAACCAGTTCATGTGGAGCTAATCAGGAAACCTTTGAACTAAGTAACACCTGTCTGTTAAGCCTGGCCACTGATGCAGTGTCGCAGTATGTGAAATGCGTCTACGCGCGCGTAAAATTAATCATCAGTGAAAAATCATGTTATTTTTGAATACCTATAAAAAATCCTTTCAAAGAGTAATTTTTAAAAACAGGAAACACAGCTCTCAATGCAAGCCCTATGGAAATATACTTAGATATATTTATTTTAACTTAAACGCTGTCTTGTTTTCTAAATTGATCGCACTGTAGTCGCTTAAACAAAACATTTAAAAATGCAGTTGTCATCCATTCTATTCCTCCTGTATTTGGACACATTGTTGTTTTATAATAAATGGTGACATTAGTTCATATCATGTGATTAAGAAGGATTCATCGCACATTAGATCCCGTAATCACAGCCTATAGTCTCACTTTCACGTTTCTCACAGGCATATCCTACTTGACCCTGCTTACGGCAGCACTTTCATTATCCTGCCTAAAAGGACAATAGATTAAACAGAAACAGAAAAAATGCAGGAGCGAAAATTGCTTTCACTCTCGCAGCTATGTGTCCAGTACGATTTCAGCTTCAGATGAATAGAAAAAAAAAATCTGGAGTCTGCCCAATATCAGTCCATAGAAGTCGATACCTTCCCAAAAAAATACTCCTGGTGTTTATAAACGATATGAAGATCAATGAATGCTGGTCTTTGCAGAATTATGGCTCATCAGGATGTATGAAAACTATAGGGACTAATGATGAGGGTAATTGTTCCGTTATCCTGTTTTCCTAATAGTATGACAATCAGAGCAAGGTAAAAACAATGCAACGTATCAATGTATAGATCTCTATGCTATATTATGGGGTTCATTCACTGAACAGTGAGAGGGGAGGAATTGCCTGGAATTATACGTGAATTTTAAAGTTCAGGCCACAACAGTCAAATTGTTAAAATTCAGCGGTGTTATAATTTATGCTATCTGGGCCATAAACGTACGATATCCTTTAAATTCCCAAGAAATATCACTTTAGTCAGTAACCCAACAGACTAAAATTATAATTCTGGGGGGAAAAAATACACTGTTTGACTGGATTGAATACAGTTTTCATGTGGGCTGTTTTTAATGTAAATCTCAGAGTATTGTTTAGTGAATAAACTCTAACGTCAGTTATTATTAAAAAATTACTAAGGGAGACAGGGGACATCTCGCGGACTCGGTCAAGGGAGCAATCATCATGGGTCCACACCACTCTACCTGACTCCCGAGAACACAATACCTTAGATGCTGAATTTTAATTGACG